GGCGGCCGTACAGATAAGGCCGAAATTTGGTAATGGCCCAGATGATCGCTAGGCATTCTTTCTCAGTTACCAAATAGTTTGCTTCTGTTCTTGTAAGAGTGCAGCTCGTGTACGCAACAACATATTCTTGGTAACCAGGCTTTCGTTGGGCGAGTACAGCGCCAAGACCGACACCGCTAGCATCCGTGTGGATTTCTGTGGGAACACTTGAATCGAAATGTCGCAGTATAGGTGTTGTTGTTAGCAGTTCACGGAGCTTCGCAAAAGCACTGTCGCAGGCTGGAGACCACGCAGATATATTGCGGTCTCCCTTAAGTATGTCTGTCAGAGGTGCTATGATCGAGGCGAAATCCCGGACGAAGCGGCGGAAGTATGAGCAAAGCCCAATGAAACTACGCAGATCCTTGAAAGACGCGGGCCTCGGGAACTCGCTAACTGCACGTAGCTTAGCGGGTCAAGGAGAACGCAATCCTTCGACACGACGTGTCCGAGAATGGTAAACTTGTGTGCTCCAAAGTGACACTTCTTCAAGTTTAGTTGGAGGCCAGCTGCAGAAAGGCAGCCTAGAACCTGTTCCAAGCGACAAAGGTGCGTGGGAAAATCGGGCGGGAATACCACCACATCATCTGAGTAGCACAAACACGTGTTCCATGTGAGGCCTCGTAAGATAGTGGCCATCATGAGCTCAAATGTTGCCGGAGCATTGCATAGGCCCAATGGCATCACGTTAAATTCGTATAAGCCATCTGGTGTAACAAAGGCAGTTTTTGGTCGTCTATCATCTGGATTCATGAGCACTTGCCAATACCCATAGCGTAGATCAAGGGAGGAAAAGAACTCTGCGCCTTGTAGAGTCGAGGGCGTCATCGATCCGAGGCAAAGGATAAACATCCTTTCGTATTATTTGTTCTACTCAGCACCTCCACCAAATATAATAAAGAACTGTGACAGTCATAACTGCTATTTGAAGCTAGGTAGAAGCGTAGGCCTAGCCAGCGAAAGCAGCGATAACGTCCGGCGCGAGCGTCTCGTACTTAGCACTGACGATGTGTTTTTCGAGCTATGTATGACCCACTAATTTCATCATTACACTATGTCTATTATGAAACTGCCTCAAACACGCATTTACTGGTCCGAGAAATTCCGTATTGATCAAGTTGCTGACACCATGACTAGGGACAGATGGGAGGAATCGAAACAGTCCCTTCATATCAACAACCAGGAGGCACCAGACAAAGATGACCCAGAGTGCGATAGGCTCTACAAAGTACGGCCAGTACTGGATCACCTGGTCGCAAAATGCCGCGAACTACCAAAATCACAAAAACTGTGTGTCGATGAGCAGCTAGTACCCTTCAAAGGCCGCAGCTCACTGAAGCAATACTTGCTAAACAAACCGAAAAAGTGGAGTTACAAACTTTTCCTTCCCTGTGACGAATGCGGACTCATGTATAAATTTGAGGTATACCCGGGCAAGATTCTTCCACAACCGGGTTTTCCTGACATCGGCATCAGTGGAAATATCGTTCTCCGAATGGGAAGTGTCACACCTCGTGACCTCAACTACAATCTGTACTTTGACAACTGATTTTGTAGTGTGGACTAGCAGGTGGTACTGAAAAAAATTGACATAAGTTCTGTTGGCACAATTTGGGAGACTCGTTTGAAAGGATGCAAACTTCCATCTGACAAACAACTCAAGGACAAAAGCCGTGGCTCCTATGTTGAGACAGCAGCAACTTTTCAAGGAGTGAACTTGAGGGCTGTGAAGTGGTTCGACAACCATCACGCATCCCTACCGTCCTCATTTGCTTTTGCATCGCTGAAACAACCCGTCAAGTGCTCTGACAAAGAGACAGTGAGCGTGCCTCGTCCTGCCATTGTAGTGGTCTACAATAAATCCATGGGTGGTGTAGACCTCATGGACATGCTCGTGGCCCTTTACTGCATCTAACTACGTTCAAAAAATGGTGCAGGAGGCTATTTTTTCATCTGTTGGATGTAGTAATTGGACCAGCAGCTCTTGTTCCGTGCAAAAAGATCAGGCTGGACACGGTTCACCTTCTAAAGTTCTCCCAAATAAAGGCCGCTGCGAATACCCGAAATGCACAATATTACACTGGTAATGTGAAGAAAGCGCAATGTACATCTTTGTTTTATGCCAAGAAAGGAGTGCCTCCAGAAATTTCACACCGACCAGTAGGGGTAATGCAATGAAGCCTGATTTCGGCCTCATGCCTAGTGTTGCCCACAGGAAACAAAGGTGTATCTAGAAAGCCAAACATAGCAATTTTTTTTCGTTGCAAAGTGTGCATTGTAATGCTTTATTAAGCACCAATATATAAGGAATAAATGTTTTTTTTTAATATTTAGTATCTTGTCAATAAAGGGATATGCATGAATTACCGCCGGTTAGATTCTGTCACGCAGATGTTGGAGTCCTGTGAACTGGAACCACTTGAAGCACCAAGGCAAAAGAACTGGCTGAAAGCTTTTTTCAGGATACTGCAAAGATAATAAATAGTACCAGATATGTATTTAAAAATGCAGGGCAAACGAAGCAGTCGGGTTAACCACAACTGTGCTAAGTGCCATGCTTCTGTCGCGGTGATGTATTTGGTTTTTCTGTTTTCCCAGCTGTGATCGAGCATTGGAATGCGTTGCCAGGCATTATGGTAAATGTAAGCTACGTTTGCTTCTTCTTATGTGGTTCTTAAAGGGAAAAGGAAAGAAAAGTGAGCCCCATAACTGTCTGGTGTGACACCTGAACAGTAGCTCACAAGGGATGGCAGTAAGGAGGGATGAAAAGGATAGGATTAAAAGGTATATATATATATATATATAGAGAGAGAGAGAAAGAAATGAGCGAGACACAGGGACAGTGAGCGACGGAAGTAAAGAGATGATAGGAAAGATGAACACGGTCACAGGAGTCCGAGGAAGGGGCACCACTCGATGAGAGCTCGTCGACATCAGGAGATGGTGTAGGGGCGAATCCAGTCGGCCAGAGCTACACTGTCATCATCGTCGGGGACCGGCGTCAAGAGGTGGCGTAGGACCAGCCCAGTCGGCCAGAGGTGCACTGTCGTCCGAGATCCCGAGGGCACATCCGGTAATTTGAAAAATTGTTCGACGTGTATTTGATTGTGCTGCCACCTGATATAGCTGTATATTAGTTTGTATTTCGCTGTACCCTCCTTGTAAGAGCCCTCAACAGAGAGTTGCCAGTATTATGTAACAAATAAAAATAAATAAAAAGCTTGTTCTTGATCACCTATTAACTGTAGCGCGCACCCACTGCAGGCATAATTCTTCATCGCTGTCAGCCACTGCATTGGAAAATCGCACAAAATTCCTAGCAAGTGTGTAGTGGCTACCACGTTTCTCAGAAAAATGATGAAGGATAGTATAGTGAATGGCGGCCTACTACACAAAAATTATGATTATTTATGGTATAGTGCCTACCCAGCAAATATGCTTCTAGCAGTTACCCAAAGCGTTTAGAAAAGGCTCTGAAAGGCCGCTCTTCTAGCTTTTGCTGTGACTGTGCTGCACATCCCGCACAGGCCTGGCATTTTTTTCTTTGCATAGTATCAACAAAATTTTGCGCAGCTGAATCTTCATTCGTGTGAAGTTGCCATTTTACATCACACACTGCCGATAACTGTTGCTGCATGGCCAGGTTGTAATAAGATACACAAAATTATCACTTTTCTACGTGTAATCGCCAATTCATTAACAAATAAGAAAGACTGTCTACGGCATGCTGAAATTTCAACCACGGAGACACATGCAGCAGCCCAGACTTTGGCTATGGGTTGAATATACTAGACAAAAAGAAAGCGCATCGCTGAAGCATTATGGAAAAGCTCCAGCAGAGTTTGTTGTAACAAAAAAAAAATGTTTTTGAGTCATAAGCAGTCTAGTGCCGTGTAAAACAACAGGTGGACTAGTGAACTTAGGCACAAGCATCCTTCGAATTTGTGCAGCAAAGTGCACATTCAAGTACAGCAAGATACGTGAAATTGCAGCAAAATGGCGCAATTGGACCATCAATGACTGCTGCAAGTTTAACCACTATCGAGCGGGAGCTCTCCGTTATGGCATAAAAAACTGCGTTGCAATAAATCTGTTGTAGGCCCCTTGCGAGTATGCTAAGGGTATGGCTTGAGTGAGTTGGTACACAGTTTAAAAAAAGAAGAAAAAAAGCACAGAAATTTTGACAAAGGAAGACGGACGATGACAGGCATTGTCATCAGCACCGTTTTTTCCCTTCTTTACCCTTGAAAGTGATACAGAAGATATTCCTTAAATACATCCGTAATGCAATGGCTGTGAGAGCAGCCAGAATTTATGCCAAAGAGGTGACGATGATGATATATGGGGTTTTTCTGTGCAAGGGCCACTGTCGGCTAACGAAGAGGTGGCCTTAAAATGGCCCTGCAACACTAGTAGCCATGAAATGAATTCACTACAGAAGCTTATTTCCTCATGAATTCGCCACTTCAAACATTATCTTAGAATCAGTCCAGTACGAGTGGAGTTGCAAAACTCTGTCACTCGCTGTGTTCTTTCGGGTCTCGTCCGGACGAAAGCCGTGGAAGCTGAGCAGGGAGGAAGGGCACGGGAAAAAAGCGCGCCTCATGACCTTCAGCACTTTTTTTCCTTTGCATGCGCAACTTTTCAGTGCAATCGTCTATGCAAGTTTGGGCAACTCGCGGCGACCCCAGCAACGACCGAGCAGTGCCATACTCATATCAGCCAGTGTCTGATGTAATGGCCATGAGTTTTGACCTTGTAGCGTCATTTGTGGAACACAGAGAAAGCACTTTTTAGCCGACTGAGAATTTATTGCGACTGAGAATTTATTTATAAATTCACATTAAAGCTTTGTGCTGCGCTGCAATAATTGGCAAGCGTGTTCTCGGGAGCCTTGATTACCGATATCAAGCCATGTTTAAATATTTGCACAGGGACACAGAAGTGACACACAAACGGGAGCAATCTAACAACTCACTTTATTTTTTACAGTGAAAACTGTTATGAGATCAGAACACAAGTAATGTGCGGCGCCGTAGTTGTCCGCCGCTGCCGATGTCCGTAACCAGTATCGCAAGAAAACAGAACACAGCCAATAAAAAGCACCATGGACACAATGGGGTTCGAAGCCAGGCCCGCTGCGTGCCAGGCCAGTATTCTATCACTGAGCCACACCGGTACCAGCAACTGGTTTGCAAATTTGCCATAAGCAGACTTGTCAGGAAAGGAATCACGCTAATATGATCAATAAAGCATTTCAGAACAGTACAGGTACAACCAGGCGTCACACAATGCAAATTGCGTAACGAGTGGGTCGTCTAATTATGCAACCCATTACAAAAGCTTGTTCTTGTTCGATTCCCCACAGTGGCTCATACCCACAGTGGGGGTAATTGGCCAATAATTGAGTGGTCTTATAAACTATTATGTTCTTGATCACCTAATATCTGTGGCACATACCCACTTTAGGCATAATTCTTCATTGTCATCAGCCACTGCAAAAAAAATTTGCACAATATTTCTAGCAAGTGGCTAGCGGATACCATGCTTCTAAGAATGTCAAAGGATAACATAGTAGTGAACACTGGGCTACTACACAACATTTATGATTATTTATGGCATAGTGGGTACCCAGCAAGTGTGCTTGAAGCAGTTACCCAAAGAGTGTTTAGAAAAGGCTCTGAAAAGCCGCTCTTCTAGCTTTCACTGCGACTGTGCTCCGCCTTCCGTGCAGGCCTGGCGTTTTTTGAAAAACTAGGCCGAATCGCAGTTTCGCTTCGACTGCAAGCGTTTTCCCGACTATGATAAAGAAGTGACACCAGGCCTTTTTATGTGGGGCCCTATGCCTTTTACAGAACTGTTCATCATTGGCAGTATGGCAAGAAGTGTTTATCGTATCGCAAGTTTAACTACTCGGGTTATTTCTGCAAGAAGACAACTGCTATACAAATGGGCAATCCAGCCAGCCATTTTCTTTTTTATTCATGTGTCCTAAATCGAGATGATCTCGTGTGCCTTGGTCTCCAGGAGCTTTTCCATAGAGGCCACATCTGCATTCCACGCGTCAAGCCGCTTCTTCATGCCGGCAATCTGCACAGAATATTAAAAAAAAAGGGCATGGAAGGAACTGTTCGACCAACACTCTGAACACACAACTTCACAGCTGCTGGAGGGGAGCTCAGACACGAAGTGGAAACTACACTGCCACTGGTTCTCAATTAGAGTGCGGCGTTATACAAAGTACATGACAATATGTATAACATAACAGGCAGTCTCAAATAAGCTTGGTGGAAATTCCACAAATTATTTACAAGCAAGGCAATGAATCAGTTCAGATCCACAATTTCCACTGTAAAAACTATACTGGTTAATTTTACCATCACAGTGTCAAGTTGCTTCCTGAAGTTTTGTCAACTACCTTTCACACTGTACGTAATTCTCAGCACAAACCCTGCCTGCAGTGTTCGAGAAGCTTCGGGACTTAGTAGATAATTTCGTTACCGTTCCGCCCATTTCGCGAACATTACAAATTATTCTGGAACCTACGTGGCTGCTAGCGATAATTCTATAATATTCGACGGCACATGTATAAATACTGACGTGCTTCACCGCTTGACAGTTGATTGACAGCGGACGCTCTGTTTGCCGCTATCAGGGCTAATGTGCATAGCTGTAATTTGCCCTTCAGTTTACAGCCCACAAGTTCGACTGAATTATTAGTTTCGTTTTCTAACTACAGTCTGCTCCATTCATCGACGTCACGACCCCGTGACAATAGGCTTATTACTCAAGGTCAAATAAATGTTTAAGTTCTACACTAGGATCTCCACAGGTGTGGTCACGAATTTTGTAGTGGTCTTATTGTGTTTTCTGACACTAGCTCATTCATAAACTTGGTATGCTCTTGCCCCTCAGGGGTCAATTTTTACTAATGAGTAGCTATGTAGGTTTCCGGAGACATCACAGGCATCACGTCACCTGCATTTTCCTCTTGTGGATTTGCTCGCTTACCCTCTTGCCTGGCGATTTTGGCAGGGGGAACGAATAGTTCACTATTACAAGAAAAATTATTTTAGTGTACCTTCAATCAGGTATGCAAAAAAGGAGTCTTACAGCGTGAGAATGGACTAGGTGTCTTGTCGGTTCAGCATGTTCTGGAGTGTAAAGTGACATTGTACCGAGAGCACCCATGTGTGTTTGTGTGTGCATGTACACATGCGTGCGCTGCACCTCACACTTTTAAAAAAAGTGCTGCAGTTGAACCCCACTACAACGAAACTGACGTGGCCCTCAAAAAATTTAGTTGTAGTGAAATAGAAAAAGTATAGCTGATCTGAGCTAGCAAAACGAAGGAATGTTTATTCTCAAATTTCAAAAACTGTCTGCTGCTTCCTATTCTTTCTCAGCAGCATTGCGACGTCATTTTCACCCATGCATAGCGAGGCCATGGTGAAAAGTACGCTGAAACAATGCCTAAAACAGCCTTCGTGAGCGAACCAAACAGTTGCATTAAGACATTACCATCAGCAGCTGTCCGCCGTCAAAGTGCATCCGACAACGCCGAGACGGAGGCAGGGTATCGTAGAGCGGCGACTTTTGCATCATTCTATGCCATTATTATCATCCATCACTCGCGGCCAGCTGATTTAGTTGATAATGCGGACGAACAGTCGCTCTGATTGGCTACCACACTGGCCAAGCACGAACATAAGTGTCGGAATCGGAAAAGGCATCATTCGGCGGTTGCCCCCGCAGCTGCGTGAAGGAAACCATGAACTGTACAACTGAGCTTCAGCTTCGGATCGTCTGCGGCTCAAAAGCGAGCCAGTGGCAAAAGCAGGGCAGTCTCATTGCCAACGCTATCGAGCAATGGCGGTGCCCATTCTTGCTGAACAGCGGCTTTATAGCAGCGGTTTCTGGTGGTGCCAACGCGTGTTTTAGACTTAGTTGACACATTTTCAGGCTCTAAATATGCATCGAAATGTTAAAGATTGCGTTTACTGCATAGCAATAAGTATCTGAGCCTGGAATGGCATCGTAAGTCTTCGTTGAAGCAGGACGACCGAAGAAAAAGTGCTCGTTGTGGCGACAATATTTATGCATTGACTCCTATGGACTGCTTACATGGAATCGTGAATTTTTCGTTGTAGCAGAAATTTCGTTGAAACGGCGTTCGTTGTAGCGGAGTTCGACTGTACTCTGAGAATGGGTGAATATGTTGGGCAACAGTGTTGCTTTCCTGGCGACACTCGTGCCACACACCCAAGGCGTGGCTGGGTTGTGTAGGCATGTGTCAACAGTTACGAATAGTGACATTCATAGGAGCGCTTTCTCAGGGATCCTCTCCATGGAGTGCAGTCACAGCTTGTGAATTTAAGTCTTTTCCTGCGAGCAAATGCACTGTTCAAGTTTAGCACTGTCTGTTGTCTTCACCTCTAGTTAACTCTATGGTGTATAGCGCCGATTTGAATGTCGCAAATCCACCCTACCAAGTGGATACGCCTCCTACTCACCTGATCACGTGACAGCACCCGCGGCTGCACCCACTGCATGTGGACCTGTGCGTCCACTTGATCTATGGTGCCCCGCACCAGGCCCAGGGACAGAGCCTTCATCACCAACACCTCCACCTGGGCGCCAGAGCAGTTGGTGAGAACACACCATCCCAGAAGTGCAGGTCATCCACTACGTGACTACACCACTGGAAGTCATGCTTCACTTATGCCTCTGTTGACAATAAAAAATATTCAACGCATTGAAAGTTTTGTTCAAATGGGTTCAAGTAGGCTTGTGCGAATATTTGAATGCTTTGAATATTCGAATGAGTAGTAGGGTATTTGAATTTGGTTCGATTCAAATTTAAATTATTGAAAATTTCTAAGTATTCGCGATGACTGATATGCACAGTAATTTGCAAGTAACCTCCTGCAAAGGTGGTTTCACTGCACTGTAGGAGTGCTAACCGGCGAAAGCACCTTACTAAGAAAGTTGTGCTCTGCTGCGAAACCCCCTTAAAATTTAAAGGGCTCCTACAACACTTTTTGAGCATGGTCGGACAACGCTGCCAATCAGTAGTCAAGGCTACCGAGAATACGAGATTCAAATGTTGTAGCGCAGCACGCAGCCTGCCATTCACAATAAGTTCTCAAAGTCAGCTGAATATTGCTCTCTTCTCTCAACAAATGACACCACAAGCTCCCAAATCACTTGTCCAAGCTACTTTATCTGCCATTGGGTGATTTGTGCAATGAAGCTCGGACGTTACTGGGGCCATGCGCAAGAGACAGCGACTTGTCCACGTGCACAATCGCACTGAAAAGCGATGTATTCAAAGGAAAAAAAAGTGCTCAAGGTCACGAGGTGCGCCTGATTTTGTTTCCCCAAGATATCCTTCCCTGCTTAGGTTCGAGCACTTTCACCGGAATGAGAAGTAAGAATGCAATTGCAGTGTGACGAATTTTTGCGACTCTGCTTGTACTGGGTGGATTCTAAAAATTTTTGTGACGGTAAATTCATGAGGCAGTCAGTCAATCCATTCTATAGCTACTTGAAGAAGTGTTGCAGGGTACGTTAACAATACGCCAAGGTCCTAAAATTCTTATAAAGAGTAATAACTTTTACTTCTTGAGCATGCTGCCCCAAGAATTTTGCGAATACGTGCTGTATGGTACTGTATTCGTTTATTGGTAGCAATGGGGCACGCCAGGAGATGCACAGTTCTACCTGTAAACTCACCCTTCCGTTTAGTGCATAATCATGCCGGGCTCCCTGCTGGTACGAATTATTGAGGTTTCACAATATGACTGTATTACTAGATAACAGTTAACAGTTACTCATGTTGGTGCTACCATCTTTGAGGGAAACCACGGCAATAAGGGCCCAATGAATTAACCGTACTACAACATGACCAAACTCCACTGAATAAGGATGCGACTGTGTCGTTGGTGTAGCCAACTCTCAGTGTTGCTCGGCTGGCGATAACAATCTGCTAGATTTGGCGGTTTACACTTCTAATCAATAATTATCACAGAAATTGCCGTTTTAAGCATAGGCTGGTGCAGCAGGTCAGATGGGCGCAGCGCTTCCACTCCTGTACTACTTAGTCGTCATTCCGTCATGGCTTCAACCTGAAATCCTCCACGCCTGCCACACCGAGCAGGCTGTTTTTCACTTAGGCTACACCTAGACATTGGTAAAGGTTAGGCAGAACTATTACTGGCCAAAACTTGCCACAGTCGTGACAACTTACATGCAGAGGTGACTGCCAGTGCCGCATACCACCACCCATAAATCCAGCCGGCCTAGGTAGCAAAGGCGATAGAAAACGAGGTAGCAAATGCGATATTTGTGGCAAGCACAATAACGACGACACAGGAAGCTGTGAAGGGCAGTTGATAAGGGCAGGATCGCACATGCCATCTTGAGCTGCGCGTGCCCGGTAGCAGGCAGCCGGAGCTATGCAAATTGACGCTAATACAATGTAGCCACATCGGTGCCGATGCAAAGACTTATCGATTGCCTAGGCAACCACTCCACCTTCACTCGGTAAGCCTTTTCTCCTTATATTTTTTCTCCCTTCACTCAGTAACCCCTCCTCCTCTCTATAGACGTTTTTGCTCGCTTCCTGGCTTTGAGATGCCCACTTGCTACCACGTTTGTCACACAGATTTTCCGGCAACTGCATTGTAACTGATCTCTCATCTTGGGGAACTGCCCAATAAGTGGTATGTGTAAAGTTCTGTGTGAGGATAAATTGGAGTAAAAAAAAAGCTGAACTGTAACTGGTCCTGCACATTATAAATGGTCTACACTGTATATACCATTCAAATTCAATTTGAAACTATTAAAACAATCACTCATTGATTCATTCGCTTCGAATCTAAAGCTTACTGTTTGCACAAGCCTAGCTAGCACGTGCGCAGCAGTGGTTCAAGTGCAATTTACCTGTCAGGTGCTCCTGATGGGGACATTTCGAAGGCTGCCCATGACCAACCACATAATTGTAACCACCGAGTTCAATAACTCTGGGTGGCCGACATTTTCGCATGATCGAAATGCATATTTGACCACTTTCAGAAATTGAGTCACATATTTGCGATGCACACTGCAATTTACAAATTGCGTCGGACTCGGTGACTTTTTTTGACAGCACTGTGGAAGTTGCTCTACCGAAGCACATGCCTGCTCGAGAAATACCGTATATACTTGTATCTAAGCCAATATTAAAAAAACAAAAAGATGTGCGAAAGTGGAGGGTGGGCTTAGATACGAGTACAATGATTTGGCCACCGCTGCCACCTGCCTAAAGGCGTGCCAGCGGCATTACAGCTTTCGATGCGCCAATCTCAAGGTACCAGTTATGCAAGCCGGAGCCTCATTTTTGTGACATTCTACGGTAGCTTCACGGTGAAGAGGCCGCTCAGCCCTGTTCAGCAGGAGAGTAGTGATACCGGTTGCTTTCGTACGGTCCATTGTCTCAAAATCATGCAGTCCCACGCTGACGCAGTGAGTGTCGTTGAGACGGCGAGATTTCACATTGGAAAAGCCATGGAAAAACGGTAAGACTTGAATCATGTCACGTGATTACCGCCGATGGACGGATATATTGACATGGCTGTACATTTTCGATTGGGCGGCAGCTAATGCTGCCTAACCGTAATACTTAGAGGACAAAAACTAAACCTTTTTTTTCTGTGGTGCTAAGAACACCTGCTCTGTGTTAAAATAGAATTGAAATACCTAATTTGCTTACTGGAGTTTAAAATGAATTCCCAGCCAAGCCTGGCTTCCAAAAAAGAAAAAAAAAGAAGTAAAATTCAACCCGTCTGTTGCCATCCTTGGCCACCTATCGGCTATCGTGTGGCCGACGGCCACACGATAGCCGATACTTAGCCACATATCGATAGCGATACGATAGCGATACGATAGCCACCTATCGGCTATCGTGTGGCCTAACTAACAAATGCCTCAGTTGTTACTTCGCTGTGTTTAAAAAGCACACTCTTTTCGCAAACGGCGCCTGTCCAGCGAGCGAAGTGATCTTTGTGCACCCGGCAACTAAACGCAATCATTCCGGTCAAAGTCGAAGGCACGCTAATTTTCCCACCGCAGGATCAGCGCCCGCGCGCACACATCTGCCCCCCCACCCATTTGAGGGGCAAAGTATCCGTGGGAGATAAGCGTGTGTCAGCGCACCGTGACGAGCTGGTCACCTAGCACGGGTGGCTTTTTTTAAAGACGATAGTCTTTCTTGGGGACCTTTGACAGAAAAATTTGGTCTGTCCATCTGTCTGTACATTTATCTGTCCGCCCTTAACGATACCTCAAACGGCACCGAACGGCCAACCACATCCGCAGCGCCCACCAATATTGCTCAAGATTTAGCATTTATAGTTGTGTGACTATCAATTAAAAAGCTATTATTGCACATATCTGAGGTGCCATAACAACACGTTGATGTTTGTATGTCTGCCTTTATACTAGAGGAGGCACACACAAGTAACTCTAAGGACTGTAGCGTTTATCACGCTTAGCTGACAGTGCAACATGATGCCGAAAAAGGGAAGTGTTTTCAATGCTTTGCTACGACGACACGGTGGTGGCACCTGCCCGTCACTTCGCATGCTATACCTTATCACCTCCGAGACTGTCGAGCATCTTTTTCCACGTGCGCACATGCATTTCGGTTTTGAAGATAACTGCCAGATGGCGCTCGTTTCTAACGGGCCTCGATGCGCTCGTTCGCCTCCGCTACACACTCGAGGCTCTCTAACGCAGCGCCTTCAGAATACCATTCACCAATTTTCTTGCGCAGAACATCAAATAAACCTTTAGTTCACTCCATCCAGACGCAAGATTATTGTCTTTCGACGACATTTGCAGTGTAACATGCAGATTTGGGCCAATATTTTTCCTGAAGGTATCGTGCATACCTTGTCAGCAGAATCATCATATCGGTAGCGTCTGCCTCCTAGAACAAGTGTATCGAAGTTAAGCTTCATTTTCTCTTTTTGGCCGCATTTTGCACGCGCGCAATCACAAAGCTTCTCCCAGGCTAACTGAATGCGCGGTGGAAAAGCTTCTTATATCCAGACTAATCTAGATCTTAAGTTTTGTAGTCTGAAGGCATTGCCAAGGACTTGGCTTTTTGTTTTGTAACTAAATAATTTAACAATGAGGGAACAGTTATGTCCTTCTTGACAGGGGCCAATACGATGGACTCACTCAATGTCACCGATTTGAAGGCCCAAATGGTCCTTGCAAAAATCAACAATAAGCGATTCTGATACTTTTTACGTTTATTTTTACTTCTCCGGTATCCCTTTGAATATTGTTACGGGGATTACAAATACACGGAAGATAGAAACGAGTGTATTTGCATTATTTACAGGTTGGTGTGACACCCCAGGGCTGCTAGGATCTCGCGCGCCGAATCCACTTCTTCTTCATTGATGCATCTACGATGGCGAAGCCATGCCCACTGCCTCGTAACATTACCCCCGGCGGACGAAGCGCCGTCACGGCGCCGCTAAGTCAATCAGGACTGGCAGTGTAGTAGCGTTTTAGTCGCGACACATGAACAATATCAGTAGGTGGTGTGGCAAAAGATGAGTGTGGTTCAACAGGAGTG